ATGTGGAAATAGAAGTATACTGTTATAAGACAGGTTGTATATTATTTGAAAGCAGACGGTATTAAGTGAAAAATGCATATTATAGGGGCGCCTGGGTGGCTCAGTTGGTTAAGCGTCCAACTTCAGCTCAGGTCATGATGTCACGGTTCGTGGATTCAAGCACCATGCCAGGCTCTGTACTGACAGCCTAGGGCCTGAAGCCTGCTTCAGTTTCTGTGTCTCTCTCCCTCTCTGCCCCTCCCCTGCTTGTGCTCTGTCTCTCTCTCTCTCTCAAAAATAAATAAACATTAAAAAATATTTTTTTTAAAAAGAAAGAAAATGCATATTATAAGCCTTAGACCAATCACTAAAACATGAAATACAGATAATAGTTATCAAGCCAAGCGTGGAAATAACATGGAATATCTAAAAATACTTAATAAATTCAAACGAAGCTAGAAAGAGATGATAAAAAAATAAGATGAATAGAAAACAGTAAGACCCTATTGTAATTACAATTAATATAAATTATCTCACATTCTTATTAGAAGGTAAAGATTGTGAGACTGGATAAAAAAAGAAATATCAATGATATATGTACAAGTAAACCGCTTCATATTTTTAAAAAGTCTTTATTTATTTTGAGAGAGAGAGAACCCCAGTCATGCTCCATGCTCATCTTGGAGCCTGACGCAGGGCTCCATCTCACGCATGATTGCAAAATCATGACCTGAGCCAAAAGCGAAAGTCAGATGCTTAACCGACTGAGCCACCCGTGCAACCTGAAACCCACTTTAAATATAAAGCATAATATTGAAATATATATATATGTATATTTGAAAACAGTAATCAGTATATAAAGTACTATGTTATAACATGTTATTATATTATGTTAATATTAAGGGAAGTAGACTTCTGGGCAAGAAATATTATGAGGACCAAATGGAGACATTTCCTGATGAAAATGGGAACTCATCACACGCATCACAAAGACCAAAGTATCGTAAATGTGTTCATGTCTAATAACAGTTTGAAAGCATATGAAACAAAACCTGATAAAACTGAAATGAGAAATGGACGAATCCTCATTCATAATTGGAGATGATAGCAGTCCTTTCTCATAGTAATATTCAGAACAACAGAATGCAAATATGAACAACAGTTTGACCTATTTGAAGTATATAAACCCCTCATAATTATAGCAGACTAAACATTCTTTTCATGTGCAGTTAGTACATTCATTAGGGCAGAAAATATACTCTGCCATGAAACAGGTCACTAAAAGTTTAAAGATCATGTGAACTGTATTCTCTGAGAACAGTGGAATGAAAATAGAAATCAAAAGTCTGGAAAATCCTGATATATTTGGAAGTTAAACAACATATTTAAATAAACTTGGATATTTATAAATAGGCTTGGATAGAGTATTCAAGGCTTCAAGGTTTTTGCCTCAGTAATGGAGAGTAATTAGCTTTAGATTAAATACTATTTGAATGAAACCTACTGATATTTTAATAGCAAGACCCAAGTGTTGTTTCTAAGTAACTTATCTGCATCCTAGAACCAAGCCTAAGAATATTTATAGAAACAAAAAATATTCATCACCCATCAAGGTAAAATTCACAATGTCTTGCATCCAATAAAGATTGCCAGGCATAGAAAGATGCAGAAAAACCTGGTCCATAATGAGGAGAGAAAAAAACAACCCCAAACTGATTTAGATGTAGAATTAGCAGATAAGGACATTAAGATAATTTTTATAACTGTATTGTATTTATGTTTTGTTTTTGTTTTGTATTTTATTTATTTTTAATAATGCTTATTAAAAATTTTTTCCACGTTTATTTATTTTTGAGAGAGAGAGAGAGAGAGAGAGAGAGAGAGACAGAGCGTGAGCAGGGGAGGGTCAGAGAGAGAGGGTGACACAGAATCTGAAACAGGCTCCAGGCTCCAAGCTGTCAGCGAAGAGCCCAGCACAGGGTTTGAACACATGAACCGTGAGATCATGACCTGAGGCGAAGTCGGACGCTTAACTGACTGAGCCACCCAGGTGCCCCTAGTATTAGTCTTTTTATGCCTGACTTCTTTCACTTAGCATAATGCCTTCAAGGTCCCATGTTGTCAAAAATGGCAGAATTTCCTTCCTTTTTTTTAAATAGTTGAATAATACTGAAATGTATGTTTGCATAAGAACCTCTTTATCCATTTCATCCATCAGTGGACACTTAGGTTGCTTCCATATTTTGCCTATTGTGGATAATGCTGCTATGAACATAGGGTGCAGATATCTCTTTGACATAGTGTTTTTATTTCCTTTGGATCTATTGTTGGACCATATGATAGTTCTATTTTTAATTTTTTGAGGGCACTCCATGCTGTTTTCTATAATGGTTGTAATGATTTATATTCCCACCAACGGTGCCCAAGTGTTCCCTTTTCTCCATATTTTTGCTGGCATTTGATAACAGCCATTCTAATAGACATGAGGTGATATGTCACTGTGGTTGTGAGTTGTGATTCTCTAATAACTAGTGATGTTGAGCACCTTTTTGTGTACCTGTAGGCCCTTTTGTATATCTTCTTTGGAAAAATATCTATTCATTTTTAGGTGTGTGTGTGCGCGCGCGTGTGTGTGTTTTGCTGTTGTGTTGTGAGTTCTTTATGTATTTTGTATAGTGACTTCTTATCAGATATATGGTTTGCAAATTCAGTGGACTGTCCTAGATGACATTTGTATTCATATTTTTCAGGTAACATACGGAAACTACTACTATAGTGTCAGTGCCATCTTGTGTTAAGATCTTTGGTGTCAGGCAGACCCAGATACTACCTCTAAAACTTGCTGCATTTTAGTACTTCACTGACATAAATTATTTTGGATATCCCTGAAACAACCTATATTGGCCAGGCACTATGTTAAACATTTATGTGTGTATTACCTTAGTTAATACAAATCAAATAGCTAACATTTTAGTCCCTTGTGTATATTGGGTACATAATGATACAAAATATTTCCCATGCCTTTACGTAATTTAATGAGCAACAAAATGAAGGGTTGGTAGTATAATTATCCCCACATCACAGAAGAAATTGAGACCAACAGAGAATAAATTTTTAAAATATAAAGAACTCAGTTTGTTGTCAAGATTCTAGTTTTGTTTTCTGTTCCTCTCTACTGGAATTAAAGACTATTTATATGTTACCTGGGGCGCCTGGGTGGCTTAGTCGGTTAAGCGTCCAACTTTCGCTTAGGTCATGATCTCGCGGTTCGTGGGTTCGAGCCCCGCGTCGGGCTCTGTGCTGACTGCCAGCTCAGAGCCTGGAGCCTGTTTCAGTCTGTGACTCCCTCTCTCTCTGACCCTCCCTTGCTCACGCTGTCTCTCTCTCTCTCAAAAAAAAAAAAAAAAAAAATAAAAAAAAAAATAAAAAAAAAAATAAAGACTATTTATATGTTACCTAAGCTTGCTGCAAAGAGTAACTGGGTCTTCAACTTAAAATCTCTCTTTGTTTTTCCTTTAAGAAGCTTCTTTTGGGTTATGAATGCTAAGAGTGTCTCCAAGAGTTTAAGTGGAAGGTGTCAGGTGAAGATCAGTTTGTAAGAGGAAAGCACTGGGCAGACTTGCAAGAGCATAAGCCCAGTTCCAGACAAGAACTGCTTTAGAAATACCAGCCTTAACCACAAGCAAAAAGACAATGTTTATATGTATTTGATATAAAAAGCATGGCTCATTTTTCTACTATTTCCATAAACAGAACAATACTTTGTCAGCAGCGACATTTTTGAAGGCCAAAACTGATAAAGTTTGTGCTTGTAAAATATATTGTGATGTTTAATCACTATCAGAAGTGCCCAGATAGGAATTCTGTGGAAGGAAGTAAAAGCATGTTACTAAGGGCATGAAGTTTTTGATTGTAGCATTGCTTACTTTGGCAACTGTGTTTCCATAGTACTTGTATAGCATAAGCTCCCCCCACCCCCACTAGCCCCCATTTTTTCCTTTATCAGTATGGAATTATTTTTCCTCTTTTAATATATGGCACAGTCAGTTCTTTCAGTATTCATTCACTTATTACAAATGGGTTTGAATCTAAAAGTATAGACTAGCACCAACCTAGTGAAAGTAAATACATGGAATCCTTGTACATTCTGATTCAACAACCTGTAGTTCCAGAAATTAGCTGATCAACTTACATGTAGACTTGATTCCTGATAAATGATTTTTGGAGTACTGGGAAAACTTTGATTCATCACTGTTTTTCATTAGCATCATGTTTATTTTGCCTTCTTATCTAAGTCTTTTGTCTACACTGAATAGAGTAACCTTTGGTTTGGGTCTCCTTCATAAGCCAGCTGTCCTTCAAGCTGAGTTTAAATTTTTATCTCTCTCATAAAGCCTTATCTATTTATCCAGCATATTTTTTTTCTTTTTTGAAATTCTGTTGCTTTTCTCTTTAACACAATTTAAGTTGTCTTCTAGATTATGTATATTAGCTTTATTTTTTCAGTTGCTTTTGTGGATGTTATCTCCTTTTATCCTTGGGCTCTGGAAATAGTTAAGAATGGCAGTATTATTCCCCATTTTATGATGCAAAACCTAAGAATAGATATTTGATTTTTTTCAAGATAAGACTTTGATTCAAATCTTCATTCCAAAATCTGCTTTCCTTCTATAATACCTTGTTTTATACTTTACCTGCTATTCCTACCACATGCTGAGCACTTAGTGGTATTGTCAGTTGACTGGTTTAAAACATATTACTTACCCCCAATCACTGATACCTATTTCCCTTAAAAAGTTATGCAGTTAATTAACTAGTTAATTAATTGTAGCGTCTTTCATCATAATTAATCTTGAAGCCTGAATTCTTCAAAGAGACTATGGAAATTTTTCTTATTTATTAATCAGACAAATGTTACTGATTATGCACCACATGCCTAATATTAATGCTAGCCCTGGATATGGACAAATGTTGATTGCATTATTTTGTTAGTAATATTCAGTCTTTTCTTATTTATACAGGAGAGATTAAACAGATTCTAGAAAATGAACTTCAGATACCTGTGTCTAAAATGCTGTTAAAAGGCTGGAAGACCGGAGATGTGGAAGACAGTGTGAGTTTCTTAATTGCCTAGAAATAAAAGAAAATGAAGTTATACAATTGACTAAATAATCTAAATGATGTATAAAAGATGGCTTTTATTAGTTTTTATTAATTCGACAGAAGTAGATTTTGGTAAAATAGTAACTTAGTTTAAAGAATCAGCAAACAGAGCAAAATAAGCCAGGCAGAGAAAGACAGATACCATATGTTTTCACTTATAAGTGGATCAAGAGAAACTTAACAGAGGACCATGAGGGAGGAAAAGAAGAAAAAAATAGTTGGGGAGAGGGAGGCAAACCATGAGAGACTCTTGAATGCTGAGAGCAAACTGAGGGCTGATGCGGGTGGGGGAGAGAGGAACGGGGTTGATGGGCATGGAGGAGGGCACTTGTTGGGATGAGCACTGGGTGTTATTATGGAAACCAACTTGACAATAAACTATGAAAGAAAAAATCAAAAAAGAACTAAAAAAGAAAAAGAATCAGCAAACAGTGTTTTTCAAGTTAAAACATTTTTCTGCTAAACTAACAGTAGTTTTGAATGAGGTAGGTGTGTAATTGTAAACACTGTATAGCATGTTTTTCATATTTCTAACTGTTATATAGGAATGGGTTTGGTATTCTTTTTGAGAGCTTTTTACTTTTTTCTCAAACCTCATAGGGTGTCCGTAAGTACCCTGGAACAGTGATTTACTGAACAATTACTTATTGGCCTAAAGGAAGTCACATACAATGTATATATGTATTGCCAAATACTGATTTGGAACAGAGATAATAATAGCAAATTTTTTTAATTTGGAAAATTTAAATGGTGAGAATCATTGTTTACTTAGCTAGTGGGAAATGCATGGAATGAATTTTATTTTAAGAATTTTCATAAAGTGTTGCAATTATAAGGCAGTAGTTGCTATTCTTAAGGACCCAGTAGCAGCCTCACATACTAAATATTTCATACACTTTTTCTTTGACAGAAAAAGTGGGGAGGAGTGGAAAGAAATGAATTGACTTTAAAGTTTTAGATGTTTGAGGTGGAAATAGTATCAAATCATTTCATACTTGTTATTAACTTGATATTTCAGTATCTACACGTAAACAGAATCTTCAACTTTTGATTCAGTTCTTTGCCAGTGACTTCTGGTAGACATTGTGCTTCTAAATATTTATATGTGAGTTCATTTGATATATGGAGATGTTCTGAGTATTTAAATAAGATATTTACATGAATTTCACTTTAGGGAGATATTTATAAGTTTAGGTATAAGTTAGTGATGTACTGTTTTAGGGGGTCAGCAACTTTTTTCTATATAGAACCAAGTTGTAAATCTTTTAGGCTTTGTGGGCAATATTGTCCCCCTTTTAGCTACTCAATTCTGATGTTATAGTGTGAAAGGAGCCATAGGCCATATGTGAAAATGTGAACCATTACTGTGTTCCAATAAATCTTTATTTATGAATGCAGAAATTTGAATTTTATATAATTTCACATACTATGAAATACTCCTTAAAAATTTTTTTTAACCATTTAAAAATGTAAAAATCATTCTTAACTTATAGGCCATACAAAAATAGGCAGTGGCCTAGATTTGTCACATACGCCTAGTTTGCTGACCCCTGGTGGGTGCTTCATGGCTGTTGTAATTGAAACATAGGTTAAAAAATAAAAAGAAGTGCTGCCTGAGTAAACCATCAACCTTGGCAGAAATAAAACACCAAAATACATTAGTTTATATAGCCGTATCATTTATCTGTTCATTTATTGAGAAGCCTATCGATATGAATCAGTTGTACGTGGCATTTTCAGTAGTTTGTGAAGAGAAAGGCAATTATTTTGAAAATGTTCTTAAAGCTATCTGTTCTAATATTTGAACATAGTCTTTTGTTACCAACAATATTTTCAGTTTCTGTATACACTTTTCCCAAGATGATTTCTGCATTTCCTATGCCATTAATTTTCTGTTTGCTCCCAAATATGTATTTCCAGGTTATACTTTTTTGTGAATGCATTTATCCAAATTGGTGATTTATTTTTGTGAATTGCATACCTTATTAGCATCTTTAAGTTAACATGTTTAAAATGGAGCTTTTGGTTTTTCTTCCAATGCCATTTCTCTATCGGTTTTCCTCCAATAAATGGCAGTACTATATAGCCACTGCTGAATTCAAAAATATGGACATCCAGTCTTTTCCCATTTCAAACAACACCTAATCCTTTGCTAAGTGCTATAACATCTATCTCCAAAATATATCTCAACTATGGTTACCTCTCAGTATTTTTATTCCACTGCCTAATCCAGGCCATTAGCATCTCTTGCCTGGGTCAGTACAGTAGCTTCATCATTGTTTTCCCAGCATCTTTTCCTGAGTTCTTCCTTACATTCTCTACACAGCAGCTAGAATGATCTTTTAAAAACATAAATTGAATTATGTAACTCTCCTGTTAAAACATATTTTTTTATTGCACTTTAAATAAAACTCACCGTGGTTTGGCACCCTCCTACACTGTTGGTGGGAATGTAAATTGGTACAGCCCCTCTGGAAAACAGTGTGGAGGTTCCTCAGGAAACTAACAATAGAACTCCCCTATGACCCAGCAATAGCACTGCTAGGAATTTACCCAAGGGATACAGAAATGCTGATGCATAGGAGCACATGTACCCCAATGTTCATAGCAGCACTCTCAACAATAGTTAAAACATGGAAAGAGCCTAAGTGTCCATCCACGGACGAATGGATCAAGAAGATGTGGTTTATCTATACCATGGAATACTACATGGCAATGAGAAACAATGAAATCTGGCCATGTGTAGCAACATGGACGGACCTTGAGGGTGTTATGCTGAGTGAAGTAAGTCAGGCAGAGAAGGACAAATATCATATGTTTGCATGTATAGGAGGATTAGGAGGAGCTTAACTGAGGAACAAGGGGGGAGAAAAAGGGAGGAAATGGTGGGGGAAAGGGAGAGAGGCAAACCATGAGTGACTCTTGAATGCTGACAAAAACTGAGGACCGATGGATGTGGGGGGG